AGGGACCCAGGCGCCCCTGTGACCCCCACCCCCATCCCAGGCATCCCTTGTCCCCCAGGGACCCAGGCATTCCCTTGCTCACCTCAGACACACACACACACACACACACACACACACCCATCCTGTAACTCATCCGTCCCAAGGGCTCAGGTATCCCTTGCCTCCTCATTTGGACTCAGGCATCTCCTACCCCTTATCCCCTGAGATGTCTCCTGCCCCCATTCTTCCTCTCAGGTTTCCCCAAGACCCCAACCTGATCCCCACTAGGGGCTCAGGTATTGCTTGCCTCTCATCCTCCTTTAGCGACCCAGGCCTCTCCCTCGTCTTTGCCCCATTGGGATCTAGGTAAACCAAATCCCCCATCCAGAATCAAGAACCCCACACTCGCTGCTGCTCCCAGCCCAGGCCCCCCCTGCAAGTGACCCCAGTTTTCTACCTTTTCCCACTCCCTTTGGCTAGATCCCAGCTTCTTACTCCTAACCCTTAGCTCCTCCCAGCCCCTTTCCTGCCCCCTCCCCAGCAGTCTTCTCCAGAGGCCCCTGTCCTGCTGGATCCTCTCCTGAGGTCTTCTTCACTGGTAGGCTGTGGCCTGGGAGGTGGGCAGCAGTGAGGAGGTGAGATTCAGAACCAGCTTGAGAAGGGCCAGGCCCTGTCCCCTTTCCAGTCCCAGGATCTCCAAGTTTAGGAACTGGGAGAGAGTGGTTGGATTTTTTTTTTCTTACTTTTAGAATTTCTTAGTTTCCAAATCTGATCCCTGCTGTTTCCCTTTGGTGGTTTGGGTATCTTTCCCCTCCCCCAGTTTTGATTTCTGAGGAATTATTGGGGAGACTAGGATTTCCTTTGAACCTCGCTCAAGAACCCGCAGAGAGTGAAGTCCCAAGGAGGGCCCTGCCCTCAGCATTGCACAGGTCTATGGGCTCAGCTTCTGGAGCAGAGTAGGTGCAGGGATGTGGACAGCTGGGTAACAAGTTCCGAGGAAAGAGATTGGGATTTCAAGGGAGGCTGCCTCACGGACCAGTCGAGGGCCTCTGGGTCGGTCCTACTCACCGAGCCTCGGCTGGCAAACGCAGTCAAATGAAGATAATGGCAGAAGGCCTTCCTTGACTCCCGGGGTTCTGGGCAGGCTTGCTGGCGGCCCATCTGAGAGGAAAGGAAAGCCATCCTCCCTAATGACTCTTTCTCTCCCCCCAGCACAGCCCTTGAAAATTCAGGCCTTGCCTGAGAGGGGAGCGTGGAGCCGGAGGGAGTGGCCTCTGGGATCGGGAGAGTTATGGCCCAGGTGAGTTCATTCGACAAACATTTATCCATTCCCATTCGGTTAAGTTGAGTTTAAGAATCCCAGTCCTGGAAGGGACCCTGGGGCCGTCTGCTGTTTGCACCCTAGGCTGACTTCCTTTTCAGATGGCTTTGCCCTGGAGCCTTAAGATTCGGGACCTGACTAGGGGAGCCTAACAGATATTTTTTCCCAGAGTTGAGCTCGGCAGGAGTGGAGGAGGGCACCCTCTTTGGCTAACTGCCTGGAAGAGCACGACTATCAAGGCTGCCATTTCCCCATTTAACTGCTGGGTGGCTGACCACTTCCTGACAGACGAGAGTGTCCAGCATCCCAGCTTTTGTCTCCCTAACTGTTGACGTTGCAGTGCCTGTACTGTTGCAGAGCAGAGTTGCAGCAGCTCCAAAGAAACGTGAGGTGTGCACAGTTAGAGACACCCCCACTCCAAAGGTCCGTACAGACTATTTGCCTTGAAGCCTGCATCGGTCTGAACAGCACAGCTGGCCACACTGTAGCTTGACCCCACCGTGGCGATGCCGTAGTGGTCCTTTCACGCCACCGCCGAGCCTGTCTCCGTTGCTTGACAAAACCGGAGGCTGCCAACATAAGCTAATATTTCCGGTACAGCAAGAGATTAGGAGAAGGAAGACTGTTGGGTTGGGTTTTTTTTCCTCCTTAAAGGAGAGATGCTTTGTTGTTTCAGTTCAGTCGTTTCAGTCACGTCTGACTGTCCCCATTCGGGATTTCCATGGCAAAGATACTGGAGTCATTTGCCATTTCCTTCTCCGGCTCTTTTTCCATATGTGGAAACTGAGGCGAACAGGGTTAAGTGACTCGCCCACGGTCACACAGCTAGTAAGTGTCTGAGGCCAGATTTGAGCTCTGGGCTTCCTGACTCCAGAACTCTCATCTAACTGCCCGAAAACACTGTTGTTGTTTTTAAACATTTGAATAACTGTATTTCAACATAGTCAGTGTCCTTTGTAATCCTTCATCTTTCATTTTATGCAGTTAAAAACATGATTCGGAGAAGGAATCCTTAATACGTCAGAGGTTAAAAACCCCAGCCTTAAAGAATTTTCCCTTTCTGTGGAAGCTGGGGTGACGAGGAAGCCCCTGGGATCAAGGAGAGAGAACATTTGTTGTCTCCTAAATGTAAAATAGTGCCATAAAAAAAGCCCTGGAAAGCCGCCTTTGGCATGAGGGCTGAGGGGTGGCTGCCAGGGCCCGGAGGCCATGGCTGGCCCTCTCTGGTGGCAGAGTTCTCTTCCTCCCCCCAGGTCACTAAGGAGTGACTGCTGTTACCCCTGCCTCCAAAGGGTAATGTGATCTCTTAGCTTTGGCCTGGGCTCCTGCAGGCGGAAGCAGAGTCCTGGCTGGTATCACCCAATATGGTGTGCCCATCAGCCTCCAGCTTTCTATGGCTCCCTCCCTCACGCCCCATCTCCTGTGCTCAACCTCAGCTGCCCTCCAAAGTTATCCCGAGCATTTATAAACTGTCTACTAGGTGCCAGGCACTGTGATAAACACTGGGGTAGAAAGGAAGGCAAAAACACAGCCCCTGCCCTCAATGTTGGGACAACCATATTCCAACAAGATAGAGACGGGAAATGGGAGGTGCTCTCAGAAAGAAGGCCCCTTTGCATCCTCTTAGGCCTCCTTGTAAGTAGCATTGATAGAGTTTGTAAAGGGCTTGGCAACCAATTAGATATGGGAGAGTGAAAGATGATCAGGATCTCATAAGACCTGGTAGCTTCTATTAAAAAAACAGAGGAGATCTTGGAATACTATGTCACAAAAAGCAAAAGTCTATCTTTCTTTCTTCCTTCTTCCCTCTCTCTCTCTTTTTCTCTTTCTTTCCTTCCTTCCCTCTCTCTCCCTCTCTCTTTCTCTCTCTCTCTCCTTCCTTCTTTCTCCCTTCCATTTGTTCAGCTGGAAGGAAAGGTCAGGAAACTCTGAATGGCCTCTCATAGGTGATGCTGTTTAAGTTGAGCTCTAAAAAACCCTAGAGTTGAGGAGAAGGGGCATTCCAGGGGGCGTGGAAGACAAGGACAACATGTTCAAAGATACAGAGTCAGTGGATGAGATTGGCTACCCTGAGAGAGTGCAGTGCATGATGGGGAATAATGTCTAAGTCCCCAAAGACAGGTTGGAGCCAGGTTGTAAAGGGCTTTGAATGGCAACCAGGACATAGGGAGCTATGGAAGGGACTAAATTTCCCAATACAAAGCAAGAGGATGGCAGGAGAGTTTAAAAGAGCAAAGACGTGAAAATTAGAGACATGGGAAAAATGAGGGCCTGGAATTAAATGTCCTTTTCCTGAGTTCTTTGCAAAGAGGCATGAGTTGTATTCAGGACTTAAGATAAGGCAACATTAAAAAATATACAACATCAAGACATAAACTGGAAGACTCCATTCTTAAAAGACACGATAAACAATGAAACTATGTCATTAATAAATATGTCTGTACCAAATGATAAAGCCTTCAGATTTTTGAAGCAGAAAGTCAGAGTTGGGGCAGCTAGGTGGAGCAGTGGATAGAGTTCTGGCCTTGGAGTCAGGAGAACCTGAGTTCAAATCCAGCCTCAGACACATAACACTTACTAGCTGTGTGACCTTGGGCAAGTCACTTAACCCCATTGCCTAGCAAAATAAAAAAATAAATAAATCTAAAAAAAAGAAAAGAAAGTCAGAGTTAAGGTTAACACTAGAGACTTTAATTTTTTTTTTTTTAAGAACCAGGTAACTCTAACAGGAAAGAAAACACAGAACAAACAGATTGTTAGGAAAATTAGATTTAGAAGACTTCTGAATGGGAATATATTCAAGAATATACCTATTCTTACCATCACATGTTACCTTTAGAAAAACTTATGTGCCAGGGTGAAAAGAACTCATACATAAATCTAAAAAGGCCACAATATTAAAGACCTTCACAAACACAACATAAGAATATGGTGGTGAAGGCAAGAAACAAAATATAAATTTAAAGTTAGACTGAAGTAATGGCATTCTGATTGATGAATTTCAGAATTTGACAGTTGGAAAGGATCTCAATGTCCATCTAATCCAACCCTATACAAAAGGAATTCCCACTACAATATACCAGATTTGGTATAAGCTTTTAAAGGCCTCTAAGGAAGGAAAGCATACCTCTCAAATCGACATGAGTAAGTCAAACAATCGATTAAAATGTTAAAGAGAATGATAAAGAGACAGCATTTGGGGGATGAAGCTAAAGCAAAATTGAGAGGGAAAATGTATTTCTAAAAACATTAACAAAATTTAAAAAAAAACATTCATAAACTGAGCCTGAAATAAATCAGAAAAGTCAAATAACCCTCAAACAAGCACAAATGAAATCTTGCCAATGAGAGAAAAATAGAATAAATAGGAAAAAAAAAACTGTAGAAAGGCTGAGAGTTGGTCTTTTAAAAACATCCAGAATTGCTAAGGTGAAATTGATAATGTTAAAATTTATGATAAACACAGCAAAATCAAATTAATAAAGTGTTCAAAAGAATCAAGTCAACAGATAGTAAGTACCTGCTGTGTGCCCTGTGCTGTGCTAAATATCAAGAATAGGGTGAATTCATAACAGAGAGGGGGGAAGAAAAGATTTATATACTACAGAAGCCTATAGCCACAAAATAACATATAAGGAAATGGATAAAAATGTGTAAAATGGAAAATCACCAAATTTTCAAAATGTAAGACCTCCTAAACAACTCTATCTCGGAAAGAAATTTGAGGAACTAAAGAAAGAAATCCCTGACTGGTGTTAAATTTACAAGTCAACTGTGTGAATCTTTTGAAGAGCAATTAATACCTGTGCCACAAAAAGTAGTCATAGTCAATAAACATTTATTTAAGCATCTACCTTGTTCCAGGCACTGTGCTAAGCCGGGGATGTAGATGCAGAAAAAAGAGACAGTCCCTGCCCTCAAGGAGCTTACACTGTAATAGAGGAAGACAAACCTCAAAAGGAAGCTGAAAAGTGTGTGTGTTTTGGGGGCAGGGGAGGTCATTATCCCAATGATGATCTTCCTGGGGGCATAGTGGAGAAGTCAGTCAGAGAAGCCCCAAGGTAGTACATGGAGGTAAGAAATAAGGAGGTGTCTGAGCTGAGCTCTTTCCTTAAATGGAGGTTTGGAGCTCATGACCCCACCCTCTGATCCTGATCCTGAGAGGGTGAGAAAGGTAAGAGCCTGATGAAGTGGTTTCCCAAGGCTGATGAGATCTTCCAGAATGACAAGATTATCTCAAGTGAGTTTCCTGGGTTGTGCTGGAGAAAGAAGGTGTCCTATCTAACTCCTTTTGTGAGACCTGGCTATGTAATCCTCTCCTTTATCCTTACACCCAAAAAAGGGAAGGATAAAGGAGAGAGAATTATACAGCCAGGTCCCAATTAGTTCAGATAATGAATCCCATGAAGTGATCACATATATTAAAATTCCCCATCCTTCAACGTTACAGCAATTGCTTCCAACCCAAGGGAAATGTAAAGCATGAATTCAAATAATGCAGCCACTTGATGAGATTCCTTATTTGCACTATCAAATGCCTCTTATGTGGAAGGCCCTGTATTGGGGGCTGGAGATTGAAAAGCAAAAATCTAATGGTCCCTGTCTTCAAGAAGGTTATATTCTAATTGGAGGAAATAACATAAACACAGGTAAGTGAATACAAGATGCATGCCGAGTAAATACAAAATAATTTTGGGAATGGCCACTAAGAACTGGAAGGCATCAGGAAAACAACCTTTTTTAGATGGTGACACGAGCTGAGCCTTGAAAGAATATTGGGTTGTCTCAAAGTGGCCATTTTCATCGTTCCAAGCTCTTACTCTCTAGCCTCACTGTCCAACTCTGCACACTGCCTTCGTCTTTGAGACTCCAGGCTTCTGATTGGTGAGCATTCCTCTCCCAGACCTGCTGTGCTCCTCCCAGACTATCAGTGCTCACATACCCTTCCCTCCATCCCCTTGCAACTCTAGCTCTGAAAAAGTGACCATTTGATACTCCCATTCCTGGAAGAGATACCTCCATCATCACTCAGTTTCCCTGTAACTTCTAGTACCATCCCCATGACTTCCCTGATCCAAACGCCACCTCCTACATGTGTTGTCTTCCCCTATTAGAATGGAAGCTCCATTAGGGTAGAGATTATGTTACTTGTTATTAAAAAAAAAAACCAAGTTCATAGGATCACAGATTTTCGAGGTATGTATATGTGTAACAGCCCAGGACCAAACACTCACCCTGAGCCACTCTCACTAGAGTCCTTCCAAAGCAACATGGCGCCACTGATGACTCCTCTTTGAGTGAAGTCTTCTAACCACCTCCAAACCCACCTAACGTGGCATCCTCTAACCTATGACTGACCCTCTTGTCCACTCAGAATAGCCTGCGAATTGCTGCCAAAGTCTCGTAGCCTCACAGAATTTGAGAGTTGGAAGGGACTTTGTTGGCCATCTAGTTCAGCCCAGAAAGAATCTCCAGTGTAACATACGTGCTTTAGACCCCATGGAAATGTTCCGCTTTTGGACTGCTCTTTCATTGTCAGGAAGGTTTTCTTACATTCGGTTTAAATCGGTCTCTTTGTAACATGTTGCCGTCGCCTCTGTTTCTGTCTTCTACAGCCAAAGAGAATAAATCTAATTCTTCCTGCATGTGACAGTCTTTCAACTAGATGTTTGAATACAGATATCATATTCTGCCCCCCAACCCCAGTCTTCTTATTGTCCACACTAAATAAAACCAGTATCTCCAGCTGATCCTTTGGCGTGGACTCCAAGCCCTTGACCGCTGTGGTTGCTCTTTTCTGGAAATTCTCCCACTTATGATTGTCCTTCTTAGACCATGGCACCCAGAACAGAACATAAATGAGGCCTGACAAGGGCCAAGTGCAGTGAGGTTATCACCTCCCTAGTCCTGGAAACTCTACCTCTCATAATGTGGTACATGGTAAAATTAGGGCTTTTTGGCCATCCTCTCACACTGCTTACTCAAAGAGCTTATACTCTACTAACACCTCAAGATCTTTTTTTCAGAATAGCTGCCCTCTGTTGCTGCCTTCCCCATATTGTACTTATGAAGTGGATTTTTTTTGTACTCAAGTATGTGAATTTACAGTTCTTCCTATCGAATCTCATCTGAATAGATTCGACCCAGTACTCTAGTCCAGGGGTGGGGAACCTGCAGCCTTGAGGCCACATGTGGCCTAGATCCTTGGGGGAGACCTTTTGACTGAGTCCAAGTTTTCCAGAACAAATCCTTTTATTAAGGGGATTTGTTCTGTGATGTTTGGATTCAGTCAAAGGGCCGCACTTGAGGACCTAGAGGGCCACATGTGGTCTCCAGGCCACAGGTTCCCCACCCCTGTTCTAGTCTGTCAAGCTCCTTTTAGATCCTGAGTCTGTCATCCACTGTGTTAGCTATGCCTCCCAATTCTGTGTTATTTGCAAATGTTATGGACATGCCATTTATGCCTTTATTCAAGCTACTAAAATTAAGTTCAACCACGCAGGACTAAGCACAGATCCCTGGGTGTGGGGGGGAGTCCTTTACTGAAAACCTTCTGCCATGTTGACAGTGAACCATTAACAGTTACTCTTTGAGTCTGGCCAGCCAGTTCTGAGTCCATCCCATTGTATTACAGTCTAATTCATAGACACCATATGCAGTATTCCCCTAAAACATCTAGACAGGGCAGCAATGATCCCAAAGAGTCAACATGGAGTCATTGGGAATGGATCAGGCTGGGCTACTCTTATTTACTTTGGGGCCTAATTGCTGAAATGGTAGATCAGTAAGTGAGAACTTGGCTAGCTTTTTTGATGAGCTGAAGATTGTTCATGGAGAAAAGATGGAAAGATGTGGGTTAGTTGATAGCCTAGTAAGAAAGATTTGGAATTGGTTGAACAGACAGAAGGAAAGAGTAGCCAGTGTCACATTGGAAGGGAGGTCTTTACTGGACTGCCCCAGGGCTCTGTGCTTTGCACTGGGACCTTCTTACAATTGATGCCTTGGGTCAGGGCACAGATGACAGCCTTCTCGAATGTGGTGATGCAAAGGAGAACTGGTAGATTGAATGGCATCTTTAGGATGCCGAGTCTGGAACTTTAGACTGAATCGAATGAGAAGAAAGGGAACAGGGATAAATGTAGAGTCTTAATGTGACAAGTACAAGAACACCATGAGGCTACATCCCACCCACAGGTGGGTGGTTTAAGTTAATTTCTTTCTTGTGTTTTTTCCCTTTTGTTCTGATTCTTCTTTCACAACATGACTAATAGGGGCAGCTAGGTGGTGCAGTGAATAGAGCACCGGCCCTGAAGTTAGGAGGACCTGAGTTCAAATCCGGCCTCAGACCAAATACACTTGACACTTACTAGCTGTGTGACCCTGGGCAAGTCACTTAACCCCAATTGTCTAAAAACAAACAAACAAACAAAAAAAAAAACCACAACATGACTGATGTGGAAACATGTTTAATATGATTGTACATGCATAGCCTATATCAGATTGCTTGCTGTCTTAGGGAGGGAGGAGGGGAGGGAGAAAAAATTTGTAACTCGGAATCTTATAAAAGTGAATGTTGAAAACCATCTTTACGTGTAATTGGAAAAAATAAAATACTGTTAAGTGGAAAAAATTATATATGTACAGTGTGTGTATATAAATATAGATATATAGATATATATAGAGATATATAGATATATAAATATAGATATATAGATAGATATATAGATATAAAGAAATAGCACCAGTTAGGAATGGAGAGTGTTTGCTATATTATCTCTACCTAGAAATTAATCTCTTTGGTGTGATTGCTTCTCAGGTGTGACTGTTGCATATGTAATGATAAAATACAGGACACCAGGGTGTCGCCAGTTGTGTGATTAGAGTGAGGTGCAAGGCTCAGTTGGGTCTCCCTGACAGTATTCAGAGCTGAAGACAGAAGGCAGCATAGACTAGTAGAAAGAGCTGGGACTGGCCATTAGATCATCTGGATTCCCATCCTGACCCTGCCTCTTAGTTGAGGTGTGGCCTTTGGGCAAGTCCCTGAATTTTCAGCGTCTCAGAAGAAGGAGTTGGACCAGATGATGTCTAAAGGCCCTTCCATCTTTCACTCCTACCTTCTTGGGCGTTTCAGGCATCTGTGTCGTTCAAAGATGTGGCTGTGGATTTCAGCCAGGAGGAGTGGTGCTTCCTGGACGCCTCTCAGAAGAAACTGTACAAGGAGGTGATGCTGGAGAACTATAGGAACCTGGTCTCCCTGGGTAAGGAGCGCACCCCCTCCACCCACCCCTTCCCAGCCCAGCCTGGAGCCCCCGCCTCAGCTCCTGGACGGAAGTTCTTTTCCCTTCCCTTCCTCCATGTTGTACAAGATTTTTAATGTTTAGCGATTGTCAGAGACCAGAGATTCCTGATCCTTTGGGGGCTGAAAGATGGGGTGCCTCCCTTGTGCTCCCTGTTCTCCTCTGATGTTTCTTTGTAGTGCATAATTGGAAATTAAAGTCTTCCTTGACTTGTTGTGGGGTCTTTTGCATGTGTGTTCTGTGTCATTTTGGATGCAGCTAGAATTAGGATCATGCAACCTCAGAATTGGAACTGGCCCCAGAGGCCATCTAGGTAACCCCTGCCCGGCCTGAGGAGCGGCTTGGTTTAACGTCTCCCAGTGAAGGGGAGCCCATGATGATGGTGAAAACATTTCTATGGCACCATGGGGTTTCCAAAGCACTTCACGTGTTATTTTATCCTCACAATAACCCTGTGAAGCAGGTGCTCCTCTTGTCCCCATTTTACAGATGAGGAACTTGAGGCAAACAGAGGTTAAATGACTTGCCCAGGGTTACACAGCGCTAAGAATCTGAATCAGGATTTGAACTCATGACTTCCCGATTCCGGGCGGTTGACTCTCTGTCTGCGGCGCCACCTCGTGGCCAAGGTGCTCCGTCCGGTGGCAGCCTGATCCATTTCACTTTTGGACAGATGGCTCCTCCTGTCTGATCTTGCCCCTGATGTAGACCGCATGTGTGGCCCTGGGCAGATCCCTTCCTCTTCCTGGGCCTTAGCTTCCTAACCTGGAGAATGAAGACAGTGGCCCCCGAGGTCCATCCAGCTCTCAATCTTAGGCATAATCTGACCCCATTTCCCCCAGATCCCAATGCAAACACTGGCAGATGGGAGATGATTTTCTTTCTGATCCTCAGTTGGCTGAGTGATCCATCCCTGCCCATTTCCCTACCCCCTTCCACTTCACAGTTTCCCAGAAGCACCATACCGATTATCCTTCAGGGGTCCTGTGGACAGCACTCTGGTACTTCCTAGTATGGGCTGCTTTCCCTGAAAAGGTCCAAGTTCTGAGGTTCCCTCTCTTCTCAGCAGTTCCCTATTTACCTTGAGCAGGGCTTCCAGTTGGCAAAGCGGATGTGATCTTCCAGTTGGAGCAGGGCCAAGTTCCAGGGACGCTGGAGGGAGAAGACCCAGCAGCTTCCCGTCCAGGTGAGTGAGTAAAAGCAGCCCACTGTGGCCATTAGCTCAAGGCATCATTTTCTGGAAAGGTGGGACAGGAAACTCTCCTCAAAGTACCTTCCCAGCCAGTCTAGTGGGGAAGAACGTATGTTGTCCAGCACGAGGTCTTTCCTAGAGCTTCTTTCTCTGTTGTAGGCATCTACACTCAGCATGTAGAGATCCCATAAACAAGACCCTAAACGGTGCAACTCCTATTGGGAGGTGTGGGAATATCATCCAATACCTGTCATGTACTCTGGAGGACAAACACTCTGAACCCATCCTGTCACTCTGATACTAACTTATTACCTTATTCCTTCTCTCACCAGGTCCAAAGGCTATTGGAGTGTACATTCTGATAATGCCATTAAAATGACTAAAATGCAAAATCTCTTTAATTAGTTAATCAACAAATTAACTTCAACCCTACCTCAGAAGAATTGGGAAAAGCTCCTCTCCTAGGTTATTTCTCTGCTTTCATTCTCAAACCCCAATCTGATAGGTTTAACATACGTCACTGTTATTGGCTTTATAATTATATTAACAGTATTATATATTAACAATATATTAATATTGTCAAATATATTAATAGATTAATTATATTAACAGTTGCCAATAAGAAAGAATCATAAAAGAGTATGTTTTAAATGTTGATTTTTAAATGTTTTAAGTGTTGATGACAGTCATGGCCAAAGTCACTCCTATGTTCTAGGAAAGTGGGTGAAGGAAAAAGTCATTTTCCTCTCACTCGTCAACTGCCAACTCCTCAAACATTGGAACCCCTGGGTGACCAGTCAGTTCTCATCAGAATATTGGTCTCAATTCCTCTCAGAAATGTCAACTAACTGCTTTCTCCACAGAAGGAGATTTAAGTCCATTTTCTCATCAGGAGTGAAAGAATGTTAAACTCTTTCTCCTCACGAATTCTCCTCTGTCTTCTCCATATGATATCTTCTCCATCATATGACAGTTAACATCTTTAAAAGAAGACAGCAAACTCTTCAAATGCCTCATAGATTTGCTCTCTCTTGACAGTTAATTATCTGTTACTTATCTAGGTCTCTTCAGGAATGATGTTGGTGGGTCCTCTCTTAGTGCCTCACACGGACTCTTCCCCATGTGACAGTTAACTGTCAGTCCCAAGGTTCTCTCTGTAAAGTCAAGTAAGAGTGTGGAGGGCTCAGAGAGGGGGTAGCTAAGCTGAGGTTACGACCCAATTCCTGAAAATATATTTGCCTAATATTTAACTTTATCCTTGGAGAAAGAGTGGTCTTCAGTAACGCCTAGCTCTTTCTCCTTCTCCATTCTTTGGGAGTCTCTTTGGCCATGTTTCTACCTACTTTTCCCTTGCTTAATAGGTCTGTGGCACCATCCTGATCCCTGAGAGGGATACAAGACAGAGAGGAGATTTTCACTGCCTCTGGGCCATTATGGTATAAGTAAAAGGAAGAGGTAAAGTTCTATAGCAAAACATGCCTCTTTGTATGACTGTGTCATCATATGGCAGTTTCTTCAGGATGGGGTGAAAGGGGCCAATAACCTAGAACGTTGGACTAAATAGAATAGAATGAAAAATAGGTGGGATGCATGTTAACTTCAATGTTGGGTTAAAAAAAAATTAACTGCGTGGAGGAGGTGTGTCCAGATAACAGTTCATTCAACAGCTCTTCAGAAAAAAGACCTGAGAGCCATTGGGACGTGTCCACTCTCCACCCCCTCGTCTGCCATGCCTTCTGTCATGGAAGATTTTCTCAGATAGGTAGCAGAAGGCCAAGTATATTATGGCCGCTGAGTCTGATGGAAGTGCAGCAAAGACAGCACTATTAGTCTGGTGTGGCTGATTTTCACCCTTCCATTTCCATTGAGCATAGGCACCGTGCTTTGTAGTCTACTCTGGAATTCAATCAGCTGTCTGTGTCGAACTTGGCCGTTTGTGGTTTCCTGAATTCCTCCTGTCCAAGATCATCGCAGTCCCCTCACCCCATTCTTCAGGTGGCCTTTCTTGATCCTCATGATTTCTCCCGTGTTAATAACAGAGTTGTCTCTGTTGTATTTGCAAATTCTTTAAGTACTGAAAGGTGGTACTTATGTTGGGACTGCCTGATGATGACAATGGTAACTTATACATGTATATGGCCTCCTTAGGTTTAGGAAGGGCTGGCTCCACATACATTGAACACCTTTGGCTTCTGTCTGCTGAAAGCTAACACGAGCGAGCTCTCGGTTCTTGTGTCCCAGCAGGGGCCTTGGGCACCCTGGTCATCTCTTTAACTATTTTGTGCCTAACTTTGCTCGCCTATGAAACATAATAATAGTCTCTGCCTTGCTTATATTGCAGGGGAGCTGGAAGGACTTGGGGTTATCATGTATTTGACTGTCCTTTGTAAAGCAGATCCCTCTTTGAAAGTGTGGTTGTGAGATTTTGTTAGCATTGATTCTTCCTTTCAAAGATGACGATTATTCTCCTCTTTGAGGAAAGAGGTGAGCCTAAATGTAAAGTCATTTCATTTCCCTAGTAGCAGGAAGAAGATGTATTTATGTTTTTCCTTCCCTCAGATTGGGAGCTGAGGCCTCACATCAGAGGATCTACTCCAGAGCAGTCCATTTCTCCAGAAGAGTCATCCAGGAAGAATGTCATCCCCAACAGGCCTTGGAATTTTGAGTTGGGAGAAGCGTGGGCTTGTGTTATCAGGTCAGGCAAGACCCAAGACAGCCAGGAGAGTCCTTCCAGGAAATTAGCAGTTACCCCCAGAAAGACCCTGAACAGAGGAAGAGGCCAGCGATGGAGTCAGTGTGGAAGGAGCTCCAATAGGGAGTCGGGCTTTTCTCTCCAAGGGAGCATTTCTATAGGTGACAGTCGTGATGGACATGATACACATGGCCAGATCTTCCCACCGTATTCAAACCTAACTCAGTATGTTAAAGGGACATCCAGGAAAGAACATGCCAGGTATGATGAACGTGGGGAACACTTTAATTATCAGCTCGATCATACTCAGTATTATGGCAAACATACAGGAATGAAATCGTATGAATGTAATCAATGTGAGATAGCCTTCAGCTGGGGCACAGCCCTTACTGAACACCCCCAACTTCATACTGGAGACAACCCTTATGAAGATAGCCAATGTGGGAAGACCTTCAGCCAGAATGCAAAGCTGATTTATCAGCAGAAAATTTATAATGAAGATAAATATTATGCAGGTGATGAATATGGGAAAACCTCCATAGATCACTTATCACTTACTACCCATCAGAAAATCCATATCAGAGAGAAACCTTATGAATGTAATGAATGTGGGAAGGCCTTTAGCCAGAGCTCAGAACTTATTAGACACCAGAAAATTCATACTGGAGAGAAACCTTATGAATGTAGTGAGTGTGGGAAAGCCTTCGTCTGGAACTCAGAACTTATTAGACATCAAATAATTCACACTGGAGAGAAGCCTTATATATGTAATGAATGTGGGAAGGCTTTCACCCAGAGTTCATCTCTTACTTTACATCAGAGGATTCATACTGGTGAGAAGCCTTATAAATGTGACGAATGTGGGAAGGCTTTCACCCGTAGTTCATCTCTTACTGTACATCACAGTACTCATACTAGAGAGAAACCTTATGAATGTAGTCAGTGTGGGAAGACTTTTAGCTGGAACTCAGAACTTCTTAGACACCAAATAATTCATACTGGAGAGAAGCCTTATAAATGTGACGAATGTGGGAAAGCCTTCACCCAGAACTCATCCCTTGTTTTACATAAACGAATTCATAGCAGAGAGAAACCTCATGAATGTAATGAATGTGGTAAAGCCTTCATCCAGCACACAGCCCTTATTTGTCATCAGAGAATCCACACTGGAGAGAAGCCTTATAAATGTAATGAATGTTGGAAGGCTTTCAGTCAGAGTGGACACCTTACTGTACATAAGAGAATTCATAGTAGAGAAAAGTCCCGTGAGTGGAATGGATGTGGTAAAGCCTTTGTCCAACACTCCCCTCTTATTTACCATCAGAGAATTCACACTGGTGAGAAAGTTTTTGAATGCAGTGAATTTGGAAAAGTCTTCAGTCGGGACACAGAAATTATTAACCATCAGAAAATCCATCCTGGAGAGACATTTTTATACATGTAATGAATATGAGAAGGCCTTCATCTGGAGCTCATTTCTTACAGTTCTGATAATTCAAACCAGATAAGAACATTATAAATGTAATTAGCACGGGCAGCCTTTTAGATGGAACTGAGACCTTATCAGATATCTATCTATTCAGAATGGAATGAAGCCTTGTAAATGTAATAAATGTGGGAAGGCCTTCCAGAGATCATCCCATGCTGTACATCAGAGAATTCATACTAGAGAGAAACCTTAAGGATAGAATTAATGTGGGCTCAGGATTTGTTAAGACATAAGAAAATTTATTCTGGAGAAGAAGCCTTATAAATAATATTTGCTAACATTTATATAGCGCTTTAAGGATGGCAAAGTGCTATACGAATATATCATTTGATCATCACAACAAACCTGGGATGTCGGTGCTTTTATCATCCCCATTTTTCAGATGAGGAAGATGAGACCATGAGAAATCAGTGATTTCCCCAGGGCACACAGCTAGGAAGTGTCTGAGGCTGAATTTGAACCCAGGTCTCTCTGATGCCAGGTCCAGTGCTCCGTCTATGGAATGGATGAAATGGAATTAAAATTCCACAGACATTAAGTATTCTGTTTATGTAAGCCATTGTGCTACTCACTGGGTATAGAAAGACAAAAATTAAGCAATCCCTGCTCTCAAAGATTCTACTTTCTTCAGGTAATATGTGGAATTTTTAGTTGAGGGAAACCCTGTAAATGTGACAAATATGGCAAAAGATGCTTTCATCTTCTTGTCCCTGGAGAACTCCTACTAGAGTGAAAGCTCGTGAAAGTGATGCGTTTGGAAAGGCGTTAGGCTGGCACACACTCCTCACTATCAGAAAAGTCAAACCGCTCTGAAGCCTTTTCATGGTCAATGACTGTGAGAGGCCTTGGAGTGAAAAACCACCACTCAAGCATTGCCGATGGTTACAGGAAGGCCTAAAGAGTGGGAAGGAAGATGGATGTTAAGGGAAGAGTTACTATTCATGATTACATAGTGATACCTAATACTATAACTGAGGAGGTGACATTATAACACCAAAAGTCATTTCATTTCCTCTCAATCAGGCAACACACATTCCATCCAGTTATCAAGTTTCTCGGTATTAACAGATTTAACGCTTGGTATTGACTTCTACGTGGGACATTCCAAATGGTCTGTAATGGCAGTCCCTGCTTGAATGGTCCTCTAGGCCCGTATCTGGGTCCTCATTTTCTTCTTGAGCAGCTGCACCAGTGGCGTGCATGTCATCTGGCGCTGTCATCTGCAGTCAGCCTCTGTAATCCTGGATCATCTCCACATTTGTGGTTCTTGCCCTCCCTTCCCATCATGGGAGGGAAGGCCTCTCTTTCGTTGTTCATATGTTCCATTTTCCCAGAATTCAAAGAGTCCTACAAGCATATGAGAGTAGAAACCCTATATCAACCCGAGCCAGCTCCAGAAGGTAGCACACAAGCAGATCCTATAGACAACCAGACCTCTGATGTCATTGGTGTAGGAATGGGGTCACAAGGAGTTGGACACAACTGAATGAGTGAACAGCAGCAAAGGAATTTCCCCCTGAGCAGCTTCTTCTTGCAGTACAGATCTGAGCCTTCTGTCCAACTCAGAGTCTCAGAGTTGCCTGGGGCACCTGGGAGTTAAATGACTTAGGGAGGGTCACATGGCCACTGTATGTCAGAGGTAAAACTTGAACCCAGGTCCTCTTGACTTTGAGGCCAGCTGTCTATCCACTACTCCGGGAACCATTCACCTTTTTTGTGTCATGGATCCCAGAGATATGCTGCTGAGTGTTTACCAACCAGTTTTCCAAAAAAGAAAATTTATGTGGAAGACAGATCTCGGTTTAATATGCATTATTAACATTTTCTCCATTTTATTAAATCTTGACAATCAGCAAAACAAACCAATTCTTGATTTGTAGTGATTCCTGAGGTATAAATGCTCACACTGAATTTTTTTTCTTTTTCCATTTAATTTTTATTTTTCTTAGTGACATGTAAACAAAAATTTTTAATGGTTGTTTTTTTGATTTTGAATTCCAAATTCTCTCCCTCCATTGAGAAGGCAAACAATTTGATACAGATTATACATGTGCAGTCATGCAAAATATATTTCCATGTTAGCCATGTTGCAAAACACCAAAAAAAAAAAAAGCCAAGAATAATAAAGTTTTTTTTTTAAAGTATGCTTCAGTTTGCATTCAGACTCCCATCAGTTCTTTCTCTGAAAGTGGACAGCATTTTTCATCGTTAAGTCCTTCAGAATATTTTAGGACCATTGTATTGCTGAGAATAGCTAAGTCATTCACGGTTGATCATCATACAATATTACTGTTATTGTGTATAGTATTCTCCTGATTCTGCTCACTTCACTCAGCATCAGACCATACAAATCTTTCCAGGTTTTTCTGAAGTCCTCCCGCTCATCATTTCTTAGAGCACAATAGTATTCCATCACAATCATATACAACAGCTTATTCAACCATTCTGCATTTGATGGACATACATTCTATCCGCAATTCTTTGCTGCCACAAAAAGAGCTGCTGTAAATATTTTTATACATATAGGTCCTTTCCCTTTTTGTTTGATCTCTTTAGGATACAGACCTAGTAGTGGTATTGCAGGGTCAAAGGGTATACACAGTTTTATAGCCCTTTGGACATAGTTCCAAATTGTTCTCTGGAGTGGTTGGATCAGTTCACAACTTTGCCAACAGTGCGTTAGTGTTCCAGGTTTTCCACATTTCTCTCCAACATTTGTCATTGTCCTTTTCTGTCATATTAGCCAATATCTGATAAGTGTGAGGTGGCACCTCAGAGTTCTTTTAGTTTGTATTTCTCTAAATAGTCACTAAAAATTGAAGAGCTCTAGAGCTTGTTTGAGCTAGCTCCGACATTTTTTTTTCATGGATACCTCTGACAATCTGGTGAAACTTCTAGACCTCTCCAGAATAAATTTTTAAATGCAGAAAATAAACCTCGCAGTATTACCAAGGAAACTGATTAAATGAAGTTGTCGAAATATTTTAAAAATACATATATGGACCCCAGGTTAAGGATCACGTCATACTCCCTTGTTGCCTCGAAGTACCACCTGATATCTCAAAGGTGTAAGACACCACCATACACCTATAAATTTTTTAAAACAGCTTAAAATGATACAACTCAACACTGTTAGGACTGAGAGGAAATGGGCAGTCTGCCAAGACATGCAAGATTTATAGTGCTACAACTGCCCCCGGATGTGAGAGCATATACCTGTAATCCCAACTACCAGGGAGACTGAGCCTAGTGGAGTTCTCAAGCCTAGGAGTCCTGAGCTGCAGTGAGCTAAGCTAATCAGGTGTCCAGATTTAGTCCAGCAACAATATGGTGAACCCTAGAGAGCAGGGTCATCCAGGTTGCCTACGGAGGGGTGAACCAGCCTAGGTCAGAAACAGTAGGCCAAAGTTCCCAGTTGGCCAATAATGGGATCAGGCCCATGTTAACCCGTAGGGAGGGTGAGATACTGAAACAGAGAGGGAAAGAAAGAAAAAGGAAAGGAGGAAAAGTGGAATTGAAAAAAGACACTATGGAGATATCAGAAGGCTTAAATAATTGGAGTTGTTTATATTTAGGCTATGTCAATATAATAAAAATGGCAGGGCAGCTAGGTGGTGCAGTGGATAGAGCACTGGCCCTGGAGTCAGGAGGACCTGAGTTCAAATCTGACCTCAGACACATAACACTTACTAGCTGTGTGACCCTGGGCAAGTCATTTAACCCCAAAAATGCCTCACAAAAAAAAAAATACAAAAATGGCAATACTGCCCAAAATAACCTACTACTGATTGAAAGCTATATGAGTCAAACCAACAGGGTCATTTTGTAGAGAACTAACAAAATTCCTTTAGAAGAACTTAACAGTCAACAATGGCAAAGAAAATAATGGAGGGAAAAAAACACCAATAATGATGGATCTCAAATTATATTGTAAAGCAATAATCATCAAAAATCTTGGTGCTGGTTAAAAATAAAAAAGTGGGCCAGTGGAATAGTCTAGGTAAATAAGATGTAGAAATAAACAGTAGCATAGTATTCAGTAAACCCAAGAATATAATGTACTAAGAAAAGAACTCCCTATTTGGGGGGAAAACCTTAGGAAAACTCATAAACAGTTTGGAGTAAAATAGCTTTAGACTAGCATCTAAATCAGTGTATGTACCACAATAACCTTTGGATATGTAAGCAATCAATATAAAAAGATATGCTATTTTAAAATTGGATGAGAATGGAAGAAAGTACCTGTCAGTCATGGTCTGAGAGGGAATTATTAACCAGACAAGAAATCTAAGTGATTACAAAGGATGAAATAGACCATTTAAATTATATAAACTCAAGGTTTTGCACAAACAAAATCAATGTAGGTAGAATAAAGATAATAGTTAGTGGTTATGGGGAGAAATTCTTGCATCAAAAATGTCTGATAAAATCCTGTTATCCAAGATAGCAAATTAATGCAAGTTTATAAGACTAAAAGACACTTTTTGATTGATAAGCGATTGAAGGATATGAACAATTTTCAAAAGTAGAAATGCAAACTGATTGAGGAATGGCTGAACAAATTTTGGTATGTGGTGATAATGGAGTTTTATTGCACTTCAAGAACTCATGAATAATTCAGAGACTTGGGAAGACTTGAACAAACTGAAGCAGAGCCAAGTAAGCAGATGATGGCCTTTTACAGAATGACCACAATAGTGTATATGTTTTATGAAATGTTGTATGGATGATAAACTAGGAGACAGAAAGAAAGGTCAGAAAGGAGTGGTGAGAACCCAAAGAGAGCAATGTCCAGAGGAGAGAGAGTGCCCGGGATAGGGGAGTCGACAACATCAAATGCAGCAAAGAGGTGAAGAAGGATGAGCGTTGAGGAAAGACCGTCGGCTTTGGCAATTGGGAGAACTTTAACGACATTTCAGCTGAGTGGTGAAGCCGGAGGGCAGAATGCAGAGTGTTGATAAGTGAGGAACGGAAGAGAAAGTGGAGGCAACCATTGTAGATTGCTTGTTCTAAGGGTTTGACTGCGAAGGGAGGGGAGATAAAGTGATAATTTGAAAGTACAATATGATCTAATGAGAGCTTTTTCTTTGAGGATGAAGGAGACTTGGGCCTGTTTATAGGCAGGAGGGAAGGAACCAGTAAACGGGAAGAAATTGAAGATAGAGGGGATAGCAGAGCAACGGCAAATCACTGGAGAGGAGGGAAGGTAGGAGCGAGGGCAAATGTGGAAGAGTGAGGAGAAATGCCACCTCTTTATCAGAGTTTGGAGTCAAGGAAGAGAGAATGAAAGATAACTTCAAAGTAGCTTGAGATGTAGAAAAGGGGAGAAAAGAGCACTTAGCAGTTAGCCTTTATTTTCTCAGTAAAGTGTGAAGTGAAGAA